GCAGGCGTCACCTGCCAAGCCGGCAGCACGGGGGGGTAAACCCCCGTTGGCGAAGCCGATCGCGGGAAGAGCGGTGAGAGATGGAACCGTGCTATGCCAGGCTTTTCAGCACGGGCAATGCAAGGCGGGGCAGTCGTGCCCCAACGGCCAGCACAGGTGCGCTGCGATCCTCAGGGGAGACCAAGTCTGCGGGATGCAGAACCACAGAACCAAGCTGTATAGGGTCAGAACTCTCGCACCCCCACACCGGATCCCAGGAAGATGATGGTCGACCTCATGTGTGGTCCCAACATGCCCCTCTCTTCTGTGGCTGGAGGGTGCTGCCCATCGACTGGTCGCTGGACCCGGGGCACGACCTGTCCAACCCGTTGAGGCAGCCAAGCACTGGAGGCACCTACGCGGTCAGCAGCCTTCACCTGGCCCTGGACTGCTCCACGAAATCCAGGGCCAGAGAGATTTCTAGAACCTTTGCGGACGGCCGCCCAGGTCCCAAACCGCTGCGGTCTGAGGTACACCCCGAAGGCCTTGACCCCAAGAACCAAAGGCGGGTGGATGTGGACAATGCGGCATGTTCCTGGATTCTGAGGCAGCTCCAGGCTATAGCGGACGATGGCAGGGGGGCCCTGGGAGAACCCGGCTCGAAGCCTCCATTGGTCCCTCCCTCAGGAGGAGAGGCCTCTGGTACGACACAACGTACTCGGCATGCGTTTTCATGTCAGCGCGTTGCAAACACCAGCGGCTGCGGCACAACATCCATGAGATCGAGCTGATTCACCCTCGCGAATGCCACCATCAGCATGCAGCATGGGAGTGGGATCCCTGGGAGGACACCCAGTGGAGGCACCAGTTCCCGTCGAAGCCACCCTGGCCTTCGCAATTGCTGTCTCGGTCAGTTGGTGGGCGGTCCGAGAAGGGCATGCCCGACTCCACGTGCCACGGATGCCGCCGCTGGAGGCGTGTGGCCAAAGGCAACACTGGCTGGATATCGATCCCAGAGCTATGCGTAGCTGGGCAATGACTCTGCTGGCCATCACACTCGGGCTGCACCGTTGCATCCCGAGGAGCGGGCGCGGCTGCCTACGGTGGTACGAGTGGCTGACGTACTCGCAGATGGCAAGCTTCCGCCGGACGTGGTTTACCACCACTCCCACCGGGTCCCACGGTCACAGTGGGCATCACCGTTCGTGCAGGGGCACACCTGTACGACGGACGACTGGCTGCCGCTCTACGTGGACTTTGTCCTCGCCAATTTGCAGGCAGAGCTGCCCGCGCTGCAGGGCAAACGGCTGGCATGTGATTGCGGCCCGGACGGCGTCTGTGAGGCAGATGCGCTGGCTGGGATGGTCTTTGATGCGACCCATCCGGATGCCGAGGCCAGCCTGCCCAGAGTCACTGGGAGGCGGCATAGGCAGGCCAGGGGCTCTGTGCTCAGGGCAGCGGCTGTCATGGGATCGCTCCGCGGTGGTGAAGCCCTGCAGTCGATGCCACTTTGGTTTCCTCAGGAGGATGTGATTTTGGCCTTTCGCAAGCTCTATCCGGCCGAGTGGTTCCAATCTTTTCAGTGGCCCATGTTGGAGGACCTGTTGAATCATGCAGGAACCCTTTACTTGCTACTTGGACTGGCGCCAGCGCCGCGGGGTGGAGTGGGACGGGCCCTTGGGGCCACCCTCCTCGTCCAACGCTAGTCGGAGGCGCCAGCGGCTGGCGGAGGGCAAGCAGCATGGAGCCTACAACCACAAGGCCTCCATCCCGCCTCGTATGGGCTGGATGCAGACACCCATTTTGCCGCATCCGTGCAGTGGACCACCACGGCAACCCCGTTGGAGGTCCTTCCCACGTTGGACGACGACCTGTGGTACGCGGCCAGCATGGTGATGGACAGCGACAACCTGAAGGAGCGCCGCTGGGCGTCCATCGGGGCCATCAAGGAGCTGAAGCGCAGGTGGGCGCCGGTGTCTAAGCACCTCGTGACCTTCCAGTCCGAGGCCACCCGAGGAGTTACCTTGAAGCGCGATCTTGGTTTGCTGGGACTCTTTGTCGTCCTCATGCAGTGGGTTCATCAAGGGCCTCCCCGCGGTGGGCTATGCCCCTCATTACGGTGTCTTCCCCCACCAGCCCGTCGAGGCGATCGCCCACTCAGAGGTGTTGGCTGGCTGGGAGGAGCACAATGCCGCCACCATCGCGGGAGTGCGGCCGGGTTCCACAGACTCCTTCGTCCTCGAGCAGTCCACGAAGGATCACAAGGAGGGGTTTTGCACCCCCCCGATGAACCTGAGCTGGCAGCTCAAGCGGTGTGCCAAAGGAGACCCCTACCGGCTCATACCTCGGTGTGTTATCACACAGGCGTCCGGCAAGCAACGTCTAATAGACGACGCAGCACGGGGCGGGCAAGCCGCATCATCAAGAGATTCCAACAAACTTGTTTTGTGCACGCCGCTCCGCCCAGCGCTCCACGTCCAAGCTGCTGCAGCCTGCCTTCAGGAGTGCACCTGGGAGCGGTTCGCGCAGCAGGGGGCCGGCCGAATGCCTACCGCCACTGTCCCATGTCACGACAGGAGGCCCTGGCCTGTGTGGTAGTCTGGTACCACCAGGAATGGCAGGGGCCTGCCTTCCAGGTGTACCACGCCCTCCTCTTCGGCCTTCCGTTGGCGGTCACCTCCTTCAACCGCTACTCTCGGATGGCGGAGGCTATGGGCAGGCGTTTCCTGGCAATCATGGTGTCCATGTACTTCGATGACAGTCACATCACCGACCGCGCAGTCCACGGCCCATCAGCCCAGTGGAGCTTTGGCGTCCTCAATGACCTGCTGGGCACCCCGTTTGCTGAGGCTTCTTGGGTCTTGACTTCGACCTCTCGGAGATCCACACACATGGGCGTGCGCGTTTTTGGGTTCGAGAGCGACTCGAGCAGAAGGTGCTCACCTTCATGCGTGACGCCAGGAAGAGCGGGAAGTTCACCCCAGGTCAAGCCGCGAAACTCTACGGCATGGTCAACTTCCTGGAGCATGGCCTCTTCGGGCGCATCGGTTTAGGCGAGATCCAGGCATTGAAGGAGCACCAGTGGGGCTCTAGCAGAGCCGGCACCAGCCTACTGTCAGCCTTCGATGTGTTGGAGGCCATCATCAGTATGCGCCCCAGGAGGGAGCTGATGGTCTTACCCATGGACGTGCCGAGGGTGGTGGCTGCCTCGGACGCGGCCTTGGAGGCACCCCGTCAAGGGTCTGGCGCATACCACTTGGTCTTCCAGGACGGTGGCGTGCAGATCCGGGAAGCCTTTGTGGCCGTCATCCCCTCGCAGGTCTATGACATGTGGGGACCAGGCGACCATAAAATAGCCCAGTTGGAGCTATTCATGGTGGTGCACGCCCTCACGGCAAGACCCGACCAATTCCGCGGGAGACGCGGAGTGTGGTTCATCGATAACATCGCCAGTCTTCTGTCTTATGTGTTTGATCAGGGGCAGGAGTGACAACCCCGACTTGGCCAAGATGGCGACGTACATTCAGTGTTTGCTCTTTGCGTTGCGAGCCTCACTTTACTGGGAATACATTCCATCCAAATCCAATTGGGCCGACGCGATCAGCCGATTAGGACCCAGTGACCCATGGTACAGGGCCAACAACTTCAAGCTGAATTTCAGTCTTTTCCCCCCAGCTCTACTGAGGCTTCCGTACCAAGCCGTGATTACCTTCGCTGAGTTCCTGTGAGTGCATTGGGAGAGGTTGTGAAAGTAAGTGCTTTGGGAGATGTATCCTGCTTGATGCAGGGCATCCAGAGCTTATCGGGGGTAAACCCGATGTGCCGAGGAAATCGGCGAATTGACTGGGCCACAGCATGAGGAATTCATGCTGTGGATACCAACGCAAATCCCACAGGCAAAGGTGGGTTATCAGACGTCGTATAGCATCGCTTGGAGTGAAAATGCTGCGGTGCTGTTTATATCAAACCTCCTTGGGAATGTAATCCTGTATCAGGTTGGAAGGCTTGGGTTTACAGGCTTCATTCTGCAAGGAGTGTATTGGATCATGCGGGGCCTTTTGGCTCAAGTATGATCCAAACTGGCTAAATTTTAACCCCACCCTATCCCGCCCTTCACCGGCCCCCCTAGTTGGGACGTCCGTGATCTTTGAAGAGCGCGCCGCGCTTGGGGAATGCCTGGGGGACCAGGCCCCCAGTCAGTCAGTTAGCTCTGTGGTGGGAGATGTATCCTGCTTGATGCAGGGCATCCAGAGCTTATCGGGGGTAAACCCGATGTGCCGAGGAAATCGGCGAATTGACTGGGCCACAGCATGAGGAAATTCATGCTGTGGATACCAACGCAAATCCCACAGGCAAAGGTGGGTTATCAGACTCGTATAGCATCGCTTGGAGTGAAAATGCTGCGGTGCTGTTTATATCAAACCTCCTTGGGAATGTTAGTTGGTTTGCTCACTGGTCATTTGGCGTGGTGTCGTCTCAGCTAGTTCCTTGAGCGGTGTCTTTGGTGTTTGGCGAGTTTGTCCTCAGCCAGCCAACGTTGACTGGTGATGAGTGAGTGAGTCAGCCCGCCAGCCAGCCAGTCAGCCAGCTAGTTAGTGAATGAATTATCTTGTCAGATAGTTGGCCAGCTGGATTTCTAGTTAGTTGGCTC